ATTCTAGCAGAGAGAACCTAGATAAAGGGACCATGGAGTATGAGTTAATGACTTAGTTATGTTCGAGATGCCGAATAACTTTTTATGGAAGAAGAGAAGCTGAAAACCAATGGCGGCCTCCTTCCTGGCCCGGCAGACTCACCGTCTCATTGGTGTGTTGGCTCTGTTCGCTTTTTTACCTGGCTGCCTGAGACAAGTGGGCCGCAGGCTGACAGGCTTCATAATCTGATCCATATACACCGACAAACAATTCTATGGACCTGTTATTTTGATATCTACTCATGCTACTTTTCCGAGCTGCTATTGTTTCTACTAATTACCAGCTGAGGTGGTAAGTCGCGCCCGAGCTCGTCATGGGTAGCATCCCACTCGGCCACTTTGGAGTTAGGCACCCGCAAAAGATGATGTGTATTAGCGCCATTGTCATCGACGGAGATAACTTGAGATCGGATACTGTAGTTACCCCAGCGAGGGAGGACCTTCATCCGGAGGTAGTAGTAAATACCGCAGGTTGCCATGATTCCAATTCCGACAATCATGTAAGTACACCATAGGCTGCGACTTGCTGTTAGAGCATGATCATACTTAGAAAGAAGGTAGTACTTACAAGCTGACCGTTGCAGCATAAATGCCACCCTCTGGTGGAATCCAGGGCATGACGAGCAAAAAGACCTGAGCCAAGAGGTACAGTATAACCAGAGCCCACCATGCTCAAAAGTCGGATCTGGGAGTTTCGGAGCGAGAACGGCGGCGACGAATCAGTAAAAGACCAACGCCCATGGCAGCATGGAATATGGCATCAGGGTATGTCTTGAGAGAGACGACGAACTGAAAGGCATCACCCGCTGGAGGCGAGACGATCATCAGGAAAGTGAACCCCCATTTGAGTAGATATGGGCCGATGGGAGTCCCCAAGGGTTTGGTTGAAACCCAGAATTCAGTCCACGGGAGTACGCCTTGGCGCGCGATTTCTCTGATCTGACGGGACTGGCTGATAAGAACAGCTAGGAGGTTGCCGAAAGAGCTCAAGAGGACACAAAAATTGAGGGCGGACTCTGCTGAAGACCCAAAGGCTGTACGAAAGAAGACAGCGGCGGCCAGCTCTTTAGACTCGAGAAATATGTCCTTGGGGACTGCGGCAAAGTAGGCAATGTTGGAGAGGAAGTATAGAGAGAAGACAATGAGCAGGGAAGCCGTGGCATTCTTTTTCAAGGTGGGGATAGGATTCTTGATCTCATTTGCCATGCTGAAAGCGTTTTGCCAACCTGAGAAGGCAAATGTGATGTTGACCATGGCCTGAGAGAGACTGTAGCCGCTCGAAGTTGTGTCTTGAAAGCCATGACGAAAGTTGATGCCTGGGTTCTCGATCCGCGGGAAATGACCTCCAAGGATGACAAGGCCCGAGATGGAGATTAACAATAGCAAGAGCAATTTTAAAGCACCAATAACGTTTATCGCCCACAGGGAATACTTGTTATGTGCAATAACAGTGATGACAGCCAACGTGTAAGCTGCAATCGCAACACCCTTGAGCTCCCAGGGATCCGGCGCGCGACCGACAATACGCCAGAGGTAGTTGGAAAGGACAATTGCGTTACTGCTACTGAAAGATAGCAGCACAGACTGTACAGCGAAGGCAACGGGGAAGAGATGCTTCGGTCGGGGAAAGACTTGCTCGAGCCAGACAACCTCTGAGCCACTGCGGTTGGGAAAATAGCTGGTGAACTCCATGTGGACTGCGAGACCAGCTACAGCCAAGAGGAAGCCAATGACCCAATAGACGAGAGCCAGACCGACTGAGCCTGTGAGCCGTAGGATAGTAGCTGGCGTGGAGAAAATGCCGGTGCCGACCATGTGATTGAGGTTGAGGAAGATGATAGTCAACCAGTTGACGTGGTATCCCAGCGGTGAGCGTGTCTCGACGGGAGCACCGACAGCTTCCTGGTATCCTGAAGCGCCATTTCCAGCTGTTTGCCGTACGTAGGCGAGATCGCCATCGCGGATGATGGACGCTTCAGAGTCAGACTGTGAGTGCTCGGCCACGGGGTGACTGTTGGCCTGCGGCTTGATACCGAAAGGTAGTCCCATAGTGAGCTAGCAAAGTACCAGTGCGTAAAATAGGTGTAAATTGATACGAAGAGAAAGAGGCTGTGAGGCCATTTTATTATTCACGCTCGCTGGTCGCCAACAGCTCGTCCATTGTGACCAACAACATGATTTATGCATAAGATCACAGCTAGGGTCTCAAATGAAGATGTTTGACTAATAGACTGTCTGATATGGCCAGTTTATCACCGTTAAGGTTAAGTATAAAGTTGTTCTTTGAATGTTTTGGCGCAGAACCCAAGACTCAAATTGAGACGTGATCACTGCATACGGTTGCGCCATCTGGGATTTGAGTAGTTCACTGTGGTGTTGATAGGTAATGGATTCCAGCTTCCCTCCCGCGGGTATGTTGAGAGAACAGTATTGGCCTCATTTATCGATGAACTCATGTCAAGTTCCGCGGGATTGTTTTATCCAATAACCGTTGATGTAATGAATGGCGTGCTAACAACCTAGTATTGCAGTGATATAGTTTGAGGGGTCGATCTATAGGACCGGTGTCGTTTTTACTATTCTAGGAGGCATCAATCAGAATAGCCGTATCCATTTAGTGGTAGCCAAGGCGTCTTCTCCATATAATAAATGAGTTTAGTTATTCCCACAGTACTCAACTTCTCTTTCGGATTTGTTGGTAGAGCTACGCCATCGTCTATTGAATGGCGTGATCGTAACACCTCGTTTCAATCGGGCTGCCCCCGACGACTGCCATGAAAGGATACAGCTCTTATAAAGCTAGCGTTGTGATCTAAAGTACAATCTATAATCAAAAAATCAGCACGGCCCATTTCCCCTTAAAAAAAAAACTCTGTTAAGTTGTTATTGCCNNCCCTCCGGCGTCAGCTCCAACCTTTGGTATCACCCCTGCTGCTTTGCCCCCACCTGGCCAACCTGATATTTCCTACCACCCAGATTGGGAGAAATACCAAGCGCGTGTAGCTCGCCGGACCCAGACAGAGGATCTCACTAAATCTCTGCCAGAGCGCTTCCCCAAGGAGCTCAAGGGAGACCTCGTTTGGGACGGAGAGACTCTTGCCCAAAAGTATGACTGGACGTACGTTCTTTCGGCTGATCAACTAGAGGAGATTGACAAGGCCCTTGCACACTTTAAATGTCAGTCTTCTTAGTATCTGACTTAGTTTACTGTGACTGACTGGATGGCGAGAAATAGCGCTCAACATTTCCAAGGGCTATATCACACAAGAGACCTTCCCACTCCCCACGCTCCATGACGAGTTGCGCCGTCTATCTCGTGAGCTGCACTTCGGCCACGGCTTCTTCGTCCTGAGAGGTCTAGACGTTGATCGCTACACCCGCGAGGAGAATATCATTATATACGCAGGAGTGTCCTCCCATATCGGCTCCATAAGGGGACGCCAGGATGCTTACTTCCAGGGCGAGCGGGCTGATGTCGTTATCGGGCATATCAAGGACGTTCGACCTGGTCTTGGCGAGTCTAGAGACAAGAGTAAGATCAAGATTGGAACGCCTGCCTACACTGCCGAC